CCCCAAAACCCCAAAACCCCAAAACCCCAAAACCCCGCACAGCTACTTATATCCTGAATAATTCATTATTATTAACAATTAATAACTTACCTACAAATGGATTCTCCATTTTCTGCCCATGATCACTTTCAATGTAAGTCAAGTAGTACAGCTTCCTCAGGAGTTGCTACCATTCCGACTGGAAGGTTGGCTTTCTCACCAAAATAGAAATTGACCGGCTCTAGTTTCTAATAGAATTTAACTTTCGATTACGGCTGAAGATTCCAAGTCTGCTTTCGTATACTAGGAGCAGGACTGTGGAGCTAGGCTTAGCACAGATATCAGCTCGGAATGGCACACAATTCACTTGGACTCCGATCCAAGCCTGAGAGCTCCTGGCGATTTGCTACTCGATAGTCGAATCTCATTAAGAAATTATTGATTTTATATAGCTCATTGGTGAATTAGAAGTTACTATTTTTACAGAAATTAGGCATATTTTGGACAAACTTTGAGTTGCCACTATTTATAGCAGAGAGGGACTCACGAAACTCATCAAAGTTTTTATGAAGCAAAGATGTGGTGAACCTGAGGAAAAAGATGGAAGGCACAGTATTGGAATGATCTGGTATCCTAATGTCGGTAAATAGATAGTAATTAATGTTCTCTGTTGGTCTAAAAAATTTGGAGTTGCTTCTATGTCAGGTAAAACAAAGCATTTCCAAATAATCAACTTAAGAAGCGATATATGCCAATGGGATTCTCCAGGACTGGTCTTTCCTAGTTTTGCTTCCTCAAATCTGAAATGGTTTGATGAGGAGTAATCCCAATTGATAACTTGAGAGTTATCAAAGGACCAATGGAGCTGGCAGCTCAAAGAATACCAAAGGAGATGTTTGAACAAGAGTATAAGATGTTACCTCCTGAAACATACTCTGAAAGTGAAATCCTCCAAGCTTGCTTAGGATTAAAGGGATTTGTTACTACAATAGGGCTACCTGATGAAAACAAACAGCTTAAATAATGCTCAAGGACTAAAACAATGTGAAACTGCTCTTTGTACACCTGATACCAGATTACGATCCAGAGAAACACAGGTATGTGAATCAATCAAACATTGAATATACAATGAAATTCAGCATCACAGAACCAATGAAGAGTCTAAAGATGGACAAAGTGAAACAATTTCTGAAACTTCGATGTTATAAACAGCTGATCCTAGGACTGAGGTTAGAATTCATTACTCAACAGAAAATAAGCAATTCATCAATCAAATGGAGAAGAAATATATCAAAGAATTCTTTGAACAAAATTCTCAAAAGAAAATGACCAAAGCTCAGAGGAAAGAACCTAAATTCATAAATAAAAGAAGAGAAGACTCTGAAGCAGTAGATTTAGATTATCCCAGAATCAATAAAGGTAAGGGGAAACGTGCAGTAGGTGGCTACAACGAGAAGAAAAACACAGGGGTTGATAGTAACAAAGTATCCAATTTCTCATGACTTGAACTAGACTAATTGCTTGAAATCTTTCAATTACCACATCGAAAACAGGGGTTTTGGGGTTTTGGGGTTTTGGGG